TGTAATTTATAAACAGAATCAATTTTGCACATCAGTCTAAACATATTCAAAAATCACAAATACAATTTCGATAACAATTACCATAATAGAAATAATAAAATAAAAATTATCGTATCAATATATCGCCGTGTCTATATATAATATATATGTATACATATAAACAAACAACTAACAAACGCAAACATCGATGCTAGATGCGATTTGCAGAATATAATTTATGTTGTGTCCGAAGTCATCTGTATGTCTTTGCTTGCTTGGTTTGTTTGCTTGTCTGTTCAATGTCTCATTCATATCCGTTCTCATTATGCTTAAATTTTTTCTCATGTTTGATGTTTTCTTTTTGGTCATGCTCGTGCACAAGTTGTTGGCTTAGAATTACTGCTTTTTGAAATTTCTGCCTTTTCGTATTTTTGTATGTTATGTGGTTAATTGATTTTTATACTTTTTATTTTGTCTTCATTTTGACTAATCTTACAATTAATTGCTGTTCTGTTCTTACTTTGGGCGGCCTCACGGGATCCGTGGGGCCCCCGAAACGGTTTAACATAAAAGTTCTTGTATTTGTTTGCCCTTGCGTTTAAAACTTAATGAAAAATATCATAATTAATAAGAATCAATGAATAAATATAACGTGTATGTATGGTTCTCTCCGAGCCTGTCTATGAGCGTGTCCGTGGGTATGAGTGTAATGTATTCAATGTGTGATTGCTGACAGTGTCATATGAGTTGAGTTATGTCCTCCTTAATTTTCCGTTTTTGTTGTATTGCTTATGATTTAACATTTGACGTTCTATGTTACTCCTGCTCCTCTGCCGGTGTCCTCTAGTCGCAGTCCTCCTCCGATTTCTGTTGGTTGCTGTGGCTGCTGCATTGCTTGCGGTTGATTGTTGCATTTAGTGAATGGGTGTTTTAACAATTGCACTGGGCGCAATGTAGTGGTAACCGGGTATGGGCAGACCAGCAGTCTCCATTGATATTCTGAAAGGTGGAGGGTAAAGGTGCATTAGAAGTTTGCCATAAAGTGTTTCAAAACTTTCCCGTTCGACGGCATCCCACCCCCGACTAAGAATGATTGTGGGGCACCCCTTCTGCGTTCGTTTTAGTATTCATTTTTCACTTTATTACAAACTCTTGTGTTTTCCATCATGTTTTCATTGCATATAAATAGTTTTGCTTTGTTTCTGTCGCTATTGCGGTTCCTTCTGTTGTTCTTGTTGTCGTTCTACAGGTAAAGCCTTTTCTAGTTGTGTCTATTTTGTTTATGTCAAGAAGAATATAATTCAATATAAGATTTTCACATTACTGCAGTACTCCTTTACTTGTTTAACTACGTTGTGTTAATGAGCCATAATAATTATGTTCGCATATATGTATGTACGGGTATGTGGGTATGTATGTATGTAGATGTATGTATGAATAGTTAGGAATATAATTTGGTTATAAAATCGTAAGCCCGCTTAGCTTAATGTGTTACATAATGTGTCATTTTTCTTAAACCTACTGGTAAATATAATAATAAGAAAATCATATCAAGTTCCTTTAAAGTAGCTACAATAATTCCGTGTACTTCAGGGTAAAGAAAATTAAATTTCCAAATACTTTTCAACATTATTTTCGACCAATTCAAAAGTGTTTTGGTTACAAATAATAACAAAAATTTACAATCGCATAATAAATACAAAGTGGGGTTTGGGAAAATCGCTACAACTAACAAAAAAATTCAATAAACAATCGAAGACTTAAAGTCTAATACATGATAACGTTTTCTTCAATTTAATTCAAATTTTGTTCCTCCTATTGAACATATGCCTAGAATATGTTTCTCTGGCCACCTTTTCTTGGCGGCTCCATGATTTTCTCTGTGTGCTTGTTTTTCTATTCAAATAGTTGGTTTTTGTACGCTCATTGCGTGGATTGCGTCAATTAGAGCGAATTGGTCCATAAAGGTCGTTGATCCCCTCGCTCCGAGCTCGAATCTCATTGCTCCCTTATCGGGGGCTCAACGCATTGGAATTTCTTCTTTGTAAACTTCTTATAGAAGGTTCTTTTATTTCATATTCTGTCTGTTTCACTTTTCTCTGCTGCTGCTTCTGTTCTCGACACATGGCTTTTGGGTCTTTATGCTTAATGTTTAAATATAATCGTATATATGTATAGGGAAAAAATACGTTTTAGTGCTTACAATCTAGGAGAGTATAATGAATTATAAGATATTGGAGCGTGTTTTATGTTACAATGAATGGATTGGGGAAAGATTGTTGGCTGTTGAGGATAACGCAATGCTTGGTACCTGCTCTATATCGATATTCGGCATTCGACGCCTATAAACGCGATCTAATCTAATCTAAAGCTTCGAAGAACGATACTAGGGGATGCGCTAAAATTTGGCAAATTCTTTTATATACGATACACTCAATATGTACCCATGTATATATGTTAGTAGGCGTTTATCAAAAAGTTTAGGGTCCAAAATCTATAGCGCCCGCTAGGGTCCTTGGTCACTTGGTCAAAATATCTCGATCGGGCCTTACACAAATAACCCTGTCCTTATATATTCGATACACAATATTGTTTAAGTGCTTGATTCTGATTTCGGATTCTGATCGATTAATCTCTAGACGCCCTATACGGCCGATCTAAGTGTGACTGCTTATTGTTGCTGGTTAGTTTGTTTTTCAAAAACATTGATACATATTGCATAGGGTCTGTTTATCAATTACTTGGATACTGTGCTTTAACTAGATGTAAAAATTGTCTTGAAACTTCGAATACGAATCTGAATACAATATGAATACGTTCGTAGCTTGTTGTACGCATGCCACATAAGTTTAAAGCGAATTTTTTACAATTTTGCTTCTTCTTCTTCAAGAATCTAAAGTCTAAAGCTTTCGCAACGCTATCATGGAAATCCTATAAAACTAAGCGACTATATCTCCACTGCTCTCCGGCTGATGCAGCTGCAGCCCTAATCCTAGTACGGATTGAACTTGTTGCGCGGCTTCTCCGCCTCGCCGCCGGTCTCCGTCTGGTGCTGCCGGAACCGGGAGGTGGCATAGTGGCCCTTGGCGCGGTTCACGCCCCGTCGTCTGCACCGGCGGTCCGCCCGGAGTGCCACCGGCCCCGTTGTTGTTGCCCAGCGTGGTCAGGTTGAGCAGATCGAGGGCGCTCAGGTTGGACAGGGCGCTCAGAGCTCCCGGCTTGGTCAGCAACTGCAGAGCCGAGGCCAGAGGACTGGACAGGGCGGCGGCCGCTGCCGGATTCACTCCGACCGATCCGTTTGTTGCCTGGCCGCCATTGGCACTGGTGTACCCGGTGGCGGAGATGCTGCTGCCACCGCCGTTGGTCGCCGGAGCAGTGCCATTGGCCACCCCGGTGGCTCCTGCGCCACCACCCGCGCCCACGACTCCTGTGCCGCCGGTGAGGGCCACCGTCGGGATGGCTCCGTTCGTGCCCGCGGTCGGAGCTGCTGCTCCGGCGACAGCGGCCACTCCGGCAGCAGCAGCTCCGGGAGCTGCGGCAGCACCTCCGTTCTGCTGGGCCTGGGCTTGCTCCAAGAGATTGGCCTTCTGCAGCTCAACACTGTGGACGAGGTTCGGTTAAGGTAGATAGAAAGAGAGAGAAAGAAAGGAACAAATTGGGATATTGTTGGTATTTGTTTCGGTTTCTTTTTTTGCTTTTCGGCAGGTGATAGGTATTTCAAAACATTTGGTTCTTTTTCGATTTTGTGGAATTGAGTTGGTTTTATTTGATCTTTTCTTGATTCTTTTCGTGTTTTGTTATGCAAAAGGTTAAGGAGGTTTTGTGTGGAGGAACGGTTCGGAGTTGACGGAGAGAGAGATAAAGAAGAAGAGCTTTTTCAGCGATTTTTGGGGGGTTTTTGGTGGGAGAGCGGCGTTCAAATTTTGGATGGTAGGAGTAGAAAACTTTTGGTGAGCTGTTCTCTGTTTTTATGGGGAGGCATGGACCGAAAGAGTTTGTTTGATTTGGAGGATGAACTAGGTGGTGGTGGGATTCGGCTGGGTCGGTTTGATTTTTGGACGGGGAGTGAGGTTTTGGATCGTTTTGGAGTTGAACTGCAGTTTGAAGTACCAATTGGATCAGGTCCAGTTTCTTTTTGATTGTCATTTTCAGTTGTGTGAAAAGTGTGCGATGCGTAGATTAATTCGGTGCTGGCCTCATCATCCTCATAATCATCCGCCTCCTGCTCATCCTCGGATTCGGCCGGGGCCTGCTGAACTTTTATATTATACATGGTTGGTAAGACTAGATGCTAGGTTTATACAGTTAGATATTTATAGTTTCTATTAGCTAGAACATTTGGTTAGGCTAGCGTTCGATGCGAACTAAGCTCTAGGGGTGTGAGGGTGGAAAATTATACGATTTGTGGTGCTAGTTTTGGCATTGCCGGGCTTACGACTTACAGGCTAGGACATGTGTGTGGCTTAGGCTACGTACGGAATCGTGTTAGTTCCCTGACAGTGACCCTCCCGCTTCACCTTTTCACCTTTTCACCTTATAACCCATCCAACCCAACCACCCACCTCCCGGGGCCTCGTCATGGTCTAGACATTTGAACGCACCGCCACTCCGCGACTGAGAGTTGACCTACGACCTACGACCGACGACCTCCTTATACCTTCGTTCTTTCTTTTTGTCAATTAGCAAGTCAATTCGACAAAATTGATGTTAGACAACAACACACGCAACAAACGCTCACACATACAGAGAGATAGCTGATGAGAAGCTGCTCAAGATCGATGCACTCACCTCATATTGATTAAGTATTGGGCCAGAGCCACCGAGTCCGGATTGCCGCTGATGGTGATGGTCCGGTCGGTGTTGCCGCCCTCGCGCTCCTCGCAGTTGGAGATCCGGATCATGGCGCCGGAGATCTGGCGAATCTCGGCGATCTTGGTGCCACCCTTGCCGATGATGCAGCCGATCAGGTCGTTTGAGACGGTCATCTCGTGCTGCTGCTGCTGGGCTCGGTTCGCGGGATTCGCTGTACGCAGTTGCGACCCGGCCAGTGCAGCCAAGGCTGCTGGGGCAGAGCCTAGATTAGATTGGAAATCTGTCTGGCATCTGGCCGCAGAAGCGCTCAACTCACCTGTGTGGTTGATGCCCCCAGTGCTGGCCGGATTCATCCCAGCCAGGCCTAAGGCAGCCAGACTGGCCAGCGGGTTCTTGGCCACCTGTTCGCAGAGCGGGACGAAAGGACGAAACGCATTAGATTGGATTAGATTCAAGTTTCACCGCCTTCTTTGGGGCTCAGGGGCTTCGTGGGTTAAGGTGTGTGTGTATGTATACAGTTGGGTTAATTATCATCTATTTATCTGGGGCCGGGGTCTGTTTTTGGGGGGAGGGGGAGATCACAAGATCACAACACAACGCGCGTCAACTCCAGTAACAGGTAACGCAGATGGAACATAACAAAAGGGAACGGAACGGTTGGAACGGAAACGGAAACAGGGATAGAAACGGAAACGCAAAAGCATCAAACAAATAGTTACAAGAACAGAATGCAATGGGCAAAAGCAAACGGGATACAAGATTATACTCCATCTTCAGCTCTTTTTACATACACCATCGAGTGGATTGTGGTGGGGATCGTAATTCTCTTTGTACATGGAGCCAGGGGTTCGGCAATGAGTGTGTGTAAGTATTTTTGTGCAGTGTAGCTGATGTGTATGAATCGGGTGTCTCCCCTGTCTAACGTTTTTATTTTCTGTGTTACTTTGGTTCTACACAATTTACAGGTTGTCTTTACAAAATATATAGGTACAGAGACAGATAGATGGATGGAGAGGGAGAAAGAGAGAAAGTTGACACATTGAATAGATTTACAGGGGGTACACCTAGGGGAAGCTTAAGCTGAGTTCTTCTCAAATAACTAACTTAATCCATAAGGACTCGGGACTGCATTAAAATATCTTTGATGTTCGTACTTGAGTCTACTCCAAAAAGTATGCTAATGCTTTTGTAAATGATATCCTTTTAATGTTTTCCTAAATCTGGGCTAGGTGGCCCTTCCTTGAGGCAACATTCAATGCATTCTGAAGTATTTTTGTCTTCCTCTTTTCACCAATAACACCTACAGCAAATAACATACACACACTGACACACACGCACACATGTGCATGTAAACTAGGACTCGAAAGGGTGAAGAAATGGGGACTATGGGGGTGACTTGGGGTTGGAAAACGGGAACTATGCACGCGCTCTATAAATTAATCAAATCAAATGCAACACTTGCAAATATGTTTCGAATAATTGCATCTGAATGCAGCTAAGGGGGAAAAGGGAAATGGTGGCACATGATACTCTAGAAAGGGACACAAAAAAGGGATAGAGAGAATCTGAAATAAATCATACAATATTGAAATGCTTTGTGTGCTTTTATTTCTGTGAGCTTGTGTAAGTGGGGGAGATGCATCTCTGTTTGTGTGTGTCTGGGTGGGGGGTTGCATAGCCGTGTGTTTGTGTGAGAGCTTAGGAAACAAGAACTGAAATATTTATCAAAATGCAATACGAATTTCAAATGAAACAAATAAAACATGCGCTATGGAAATATTTTATGACCCAAAAATGAATTGCAACTCAATAAAAAGTTCAGTGACAGAGAGAGAGGGGCGGATAGGGGGAGCTACAATGGATTATCTAGGAAAAACTGTCATAAAACTTGTGTGTGTTGGCATATTAACAGACACTTCTGCCAAGCGCACACAACACATACATAGAGGCAAACACACAGATACATATAGAAAACAAGTTGAAACAATTTTCCAAAACTACGAAAAACTTTAGCTTTGGGGGGAAAAGAGAGGGGGGTGGGCGATAAAGTGCATTTTTTGATGACTTCTGGCTGGGATAAAGGGTTTGCTTTAGTCCTCGGATTCCAAGTCCCCTTGGTCTGATTTTTAGTGTGACTTCGGCCACCGACTTTGTGGTGGCAACGACTTCGGGGACCTGGACTCGGACCAGGAGCTGCAGTTGGCCCAATGCTAATGTCATTGAAATGCGGCCAACGGTTGCGCCGACGGGGGATCGTAAAAGAAATGCCAAAGGTAGTAAACTGGGTATACAAGCTACAAAAACCGGAACTTGGGGCTACTCAGGAGGTTGCTACGGCGGGTAGAAATACAACAGCAACATACGAACACAACTATCTACACTCAGAAAAAAGTATTTTTATACATTTTATTTTATTTATAAATTTTGAAAATATTTATGTTTCTAAAGTTTATTTCAACCACCAATCTAAGTGTTTAGTAAACTATTTTAAAATTTATTTGACAAACAAAATTTATGTATTTGGTTGGTACACCTTTAAAAATACTTGAAGATTACTTAGGCTAACCAACTAAACCAGTTCAATGTAAAAATTCGGTTAACCATAGCAATTTTAGTACAATGTTAAGGGGTTTTTTGCGTTTGTTCTTTAAAAATTAATTTTATAATTTTATTGGGAATGGTATTTGGCCCAAAGAGAACCACATTTCGTTTATTCTAACAGTTATACTTTAAGCAATGTTCATGTTCTAAACTCAAGAATATTTTAAGAGGAAATGAACAATTTTTTCTGAGTGTTTTACAGTCTGATGCATGGGAGTGCAGGCAGGTGTCGGGGGACGGTACATCATCATGCTCTGCCTGGCGGAGTTGGATTCTCGGGTCATGTTGCGTTTGATTATATTGGTTAAACGAGTACAGTTTCTTTCAAGAGTCTGGTGGAGGTATTCATGTTCTTGAACCGAATCGCATCGATAGCTAAAAACTCACATCGGGCATTTGCTGTAGGTGATGGTGGTGTGCTGGTATCGCTCCTTGTAAATGTGCCCCCTTTAACAAAGGATCCGCCAAGCCTGAGATACCAGCATGTAGACCGCCGGTAGCCAGGGCAAGTGGAAATACTGGACAGGTCTACGTTCGATTGATTGATTGATTGATCATTACGGTTGTGTGTGTTTGGTGTGCGTGTGTGGAGTTACAATTTTGTTTTAGTGTATTTTTCATTTATGCGGTTCAAAATATGTGGCCAAGGAAGAAAGAAAAGTAGAAGAACGAAAATTGTTTACCACAAGTAAAATGTCTTTCAAAGCAAGTTGATTAAGATCTTAACTTTGTAGTTGCTATGGAGAGATGTAAGCTTATCAGATACATGTTTAAATATAGACGTATCGCTAGAGAAACTCTTGGAGAAAGCTTTCGAGACGTGTGTGCAAATTTCTGGTGTGAGGGCGGGGTTTCTCAACGGGGTTCGTTGCAACGCAGAACAAAGTATAAATGATATCGGGTGGATGAAATACTAGAAACAAATGATGACATCTAAGAGGAGGGACAGAGAAGGGGGCTTTACTTTGTTTTCGAGTGGGGCGGATTCAGGGCTCGAGGGAACCAAGGGTTTGGGGGCATACAACATTATGAAGGACTCTTAGAATGCGGGACCAATGCCGACAGTTTAGCGCAGGTTGAGGTACAGTTGCCAACAGACTGACTGGACTGCCATGGCAAATCGATGTCACATTGGGTACTCTAACATCGGTTTTCCTTTATATAAAAATACATTTTTACCGCAGCTCTAAAAGTTAACCCTGCAAACTGTACCCATTGTGAGCAAATTGACAACTGTGGGGTTTAATACACTACACGCTGCATTGGGCTAACGAATTGTAAACCAACACCGACAATAACCAGGACCAGGAGAGAGTGAGAGAGAGCGATTTGTGGGAGAGAGACAGAGAGAGAGATCGCAATGGATGGTACAACTAGTTTTTGATTTATTAAATTTTTTCTGGACATTAATTGAATTTGATGTGACAACAAAAACTTTGTCTGTTTTAGTTTTGAGAAACTTTTATTTTTCGTTGGGGCAATGGCTGGCGAGGGGGGCTCTGAAGGGCGGAGAACTGAACTGAACTTTACTGTGCTGTACTGTACTGGACTGACTGTACTGGAGGCTGAATTGGATTGAATAGAATTAGTTTGCTGTTTGTTTTGCTGTTGTGTGCTGTTTGCTGTTTCCTGTGGTTCTGTAGAGCACAAAATTCAATTTTGGTATGGGATTTTTAACAGAGTTATAAACAATATTTATTGATACGGATAGAGAGAGTGGCGAGAGAGTATTTAGAGTGTGTGAGATGGAGGGCTCGGGCAGGATGGTATTGGAACAGTATGCTGTTGTTATAATTGCTAATTGCATTGTTGTTCTGGTAAAAACGCATCTAAATATGTCTGCTCCTTTTTTTAATTATTTATGTGGTTAGCTTCGTTGATTGGATTTATCCGTTGTACGAAAAGCTAAATTTCAGTGACGGTACTACACAAAAATCAGGAGAGATGTCGAAAGAACGCAGGACGTTGGCAAATAAGTGTATATAGATATATATAGAGGGGTGTTGAATTATTCAATATTCGATACGATACGATTAGTTAGCTGGCGCTCAAGGAGGAGTTTAATATTTTGTGGATCTTGTTGTGTCGAGGTATTTGATTAATAGATGTTTACTTTTGGGCTGGATAGATATGGCGGATATATGTATGTAGATGGGTTTGGAGAGACAGGTGGACTAGTGTAGTTTGAACATACTTCTTCACACACGCTGCCAGCGAGCCCTCTTCAGAACAGAACTTAGAGACACAGAGAGACTGAGCAGAGAGTGAAGAGAGAGAGTTCTAGCCCCCGCTCCCCGCGAGCCTTTCTTTCTTTCACACGAACTCACTCGCCTCGCCTCGCCACGCCTTCAACACTTTTCTCTGAGGCGGAAGAAACCCAACGATTCTCCCCTCAGGATGCTGCGGATTCGATTCTCGGAGATCGAAGATTCCCGGAGACTCTCGCAGTGAGACAGAGACAGGTGCCGGGGCAGACTGAGAGAGAGACCGATCGCGCACGCACTCTCCTCGCAGCCACACGCTCTTAACCTGAGAGAAGAGAGTGCAAAAGAAACTAAAAACAAAACAAAAATACATATTTAAAGTTTATTTTAAAATTGTTTCGTTAATTATTATCGTCGATTCGATGGCTGTAAAGTTTGTTAACACATTAGTTCACTGATCGGGGTCACCACTTGGACTTGAAAATAGATGAATCTCATGGGTACGACGATAGGGGAGCGGTAATCGGTATCGGTTCGGATTCGGTAATCGGTAATCGGTACAGTAGATTGAGAGGTTGGGTTCAGAAGGGTCAAAAACGGGACACAAATCGTAGTAGGTTCTTCTCTGGACAGCTATCAGGGGTCTCCAAGTGAAGAGTTTACGGAGAAAGAGGGGAGGGACTCGTGGACGGTGTCGCAAATTATAATCGGGGTCGATAGAGTCGAGCAAGGGGATCTGGATTATCGGCAGAACACAAGATATAGAAGTATAGACAGAGAAATAGAGTGACATGAACTTAAGAAATATTAGGAGGATAAACAGAAAGTGAAGACGCGCAATAACCAAAAAGATAGTTGGGCTAGGTCGGGGCAAAATCAAAGAGTACAAAATTGTTTAGCTGGACTTATGTGGGGTCGGTTAAGATAGAGACAGAGCGAGAGATATAGCTGCAGTGGCTGGCAATAGAGTACACAACACTGTTCACTGATCTTAACAACACGTTTAGCCTGGTTTTCTGGGTGAGAAATCGGCCAGACGGTCCACCTACATACCTCTTGTGTGGGCACTGCGTAGTTTCCTTGAATGGTGAATGCCTGTCCATTGGCCAGAATGACGGGGCCAGTCACCTGCGGTTTTGGTCGGTACGGGATGGTAGCACCGCGTGGCGGGGACTGTTGACAAAATACATTGTTAGTTAATCTCAACCGATAGTGGATGTAAACAGACTTTTCCAACAAGAACACGTATGATATCAATGATAACGTAGTATTTTAGTTAGAGAAGTTTGTTTATAAAGGACTGAAGACTCACCTCCAACATGACAAGACATATCTGATAGATGCACTGGGTGATCTGCTCGGCACTGCCGCTCAAGGTAACCGCCCGCTCTGTCGAATTGGGCAGCATTTCACTGGCCACCTGGATGGAGCAGCCTGTGGTCTGGCGAATCTCCTTGATCTTTGAACCACTCTTGCCTGCCCCGAGTGCAAATAAATAGCATTAGAATTGATGACTGTGGTTAACTGCAGTCCGCTTACCAATTAACGATCCACATTGACTGGCGGGCACAATCAATCGAATGGGTATTTGAGTTTTGCCAACTTTGCCTACATCATTGAACTGCGAGCACCACTGAAACGGGTCAGAAGTTAGTAATGTGAACCGGAAACGTTTGGGTCCTGGGGTGATTAAACGGGGACTGGCCAGTTGTACCGCACACATACCTCTTCGAACTTCTTTGTAATGAGCGTAAATGCCGAAAAGATTGCGTTAGTTGTACCAGACACAGTCACAATACGTTCCGGGCATGAGCCGTCCGAAATGTTGATTTTGGCACCAGACTGAGGAGGAATAACAGAATTAGCCCGGGGTCTGTTTATGTTTTAGGGATGAGTAGCCTTACCTCTTCACGAAATCTGTTGACAATTTCACCCTTTTTACCAATAATACTACCAACTTCCTGCAAAGAAACAAAATACGGAAAATGTGTTTAGCATTATAGTTGGAAAACATGTTGCAAAGTAACTTATAAATGCTCTTAAGATGTATCTTGCTCGAGGCCATCAACTTGCCACCCTCTGCGGACATCGAAAACACTTTAAGCGAGTTTCGGCTTTTTCTTTTGCCTGACACTGTCAGAGACGATGCTCAAATTTGATTAAATATTAAGTGATATTATGCCGGAGCATACAGCACAGGGAGGCATCGTGTGTGTGTGTGTAACTACTTTTGCATATTTAATTGCCACAAAAAGCAATTCACACGCGCCACACCCCGCATCACCCACAGTGGCAACCAGAAAACCCAAACCCAGCCCGGGGCGAACCCATTTCCCTTTCACAGTCAGTCGCCTGTCGGCGCTGCGAACTGTCGCACGTAATGAAATTTGCGGCCAGCGCGTTTTACGCGTTTTAATTGATTGTAAATATCAGCACTGCCACAGCCAGTAACTGAGTTTTTAACAAGAAAAAACCATTGCGAAAAATGAATGCGCAGAGCAGACAGGGAGGAACTGGAAAGAGGGAATGGTTTTACCTTACCATTTGTATCGCCCCCTAGTGGGGTAATCAATATACCACTCATTTTCTGTAAGGAACTTTTTCATCCATCATTAAAATAAAGCCAATGAACTTCCGCCCGTCTGAAGCATTTACTTAAACTATTGTTAAGTGCGATAAAAATTTATAATAGGAAGAACTTAAATTTAAATTTAAATCCAGACAAAACAGATAATATTTTTAGTAGTCCCCATAAACTTGTCAACGGAAATGCATTAAGTTTCTTAGTTGGTACCTTAAGATATGACTTTATTTTAATGCAATTTGGCACTTATCCCTACAGTTTGAGATATGTTTTTCAAATGCATTAAATTTCTTAGTTGGTACCTTAAGATATGACTTTATTTTAATGCAATTTGGCACTTATCCCTACAGTTTGAGATATGTTTTTCAAGTGCATTAAATTTCTTAGTTGGTACCTTAAGATATGACTTTATTTTAATGCAATTTGGAACTCATCCCCACAGTTTGAGATATGTTTTTAAAATAGTTCTCCATTCTCCAAGGATACCCAACCCCGTTCCTACGTATAATGTAGAATTGAAACAATTTATTTGGCCATGTTTAAATGTTGCCACTCACAGCCATTCAATTTGCCGGCCATAAACCATAGAACAACCTTCACAAATCCAAAGTGCAGCAATCCATTGTGCCAGACCGAAAGAGCGCACCCAGAGCCCAACAAATACATCTTGGGTCGGGCAGCTTGCCAGACGAAATGCAAACTGGGCAAAACAATGTGCGAGGGAAATCTGCCCCCGGCCATCCGAATTTTATGCGGTGCTTGCATTCTGGCCACTCTTCGCCAGAACATTTGTGCCCACGAGAGCGAAATAGATGCAGGCCAGCTTATTCGGTTGCATAGATATTTATTGTACACAAATGTCAGAGCGAATGGGCATAATTATTGGCGTAATTATCGTCGAACGGCGGCGAACGTTGCCTCAGATGCGTTTTTACGCCTGTCTGCACTCATAGACGAATTTCTCGGCGACCAGTGTAATTTATAGGACAGCTTTGCCGCCACAGACTTGGCAGATATAAATTGTATCTGCGTAAGTGGTATCTAAGTGCGGGGCGGCCTAGAGACTACGCACTTTCGGGGCCTCATAACCATTCAGGTTGATGGCTGCTCATCAGCGCCTAGGCCTCATCATCATTAATAATGTGGCCAGAAGCCGCTCCGATGTCCAGCGCAGTTCCCTTCAGCCGAGCAGCCACCCGCTGCTCCATTCAATTATCTCGTTGCGATTGCGAGCCGGTTCAGTTCCGCTCAGAAGTTTGCGCCATTTGCATAAATCGGATCTGCCTGACATTGCTCGATCCCTCCGCCGTTCAAAATCCCCCGCCGTTTCATTACTGTGAATCGAGCGAAAATCGGGACTTTCACTTCAATGCATTGATTTGGCCTTTGCCCACTGCGCCCACCCATCCGATCCCCTGCTGCACTCCCTGCCGGCAATTAAATTCACAGCATTCCTCCACACAACTCCTGCAACAATGAACAATCGCATTTGGCATTTTCGCATTTTCGCATTTTCCGATTTCCACATGCGTGCGATTTTCGAATGCAAAAAACACTTTGCGGTCCAGCTGGAACATTTCGACTGCCTTTTGTCGAATGTTTTGGGCTCGGTCCACCCAGCTTGTTCGGTTGGGTTGCTTGCATAAAATATGCATAGGAAAAGTTGACATGCAGGCAGCCGCTTCAGAATGCCAACATTCCGTTCTGTGGTCAGGAAATAAGTTTGATTGTTCGTTGTTATTGATTTCGTTTTGTTTTCCACAAGGGATTACTGCAAGTCGGCTGGTCCTTAGTAAACATAAGCCTTGTAACAACAATGTAGGGTGAAAATCGTTGAATAGGATTGAAAAATGAGTTATTCAAGAAATGTCACTCAGAACCTGGATGAAAACAGAAGAAGAAGGATCACGGGAAACCATTGAAAAGTTTTTGTAAATCAAAGATATGGAATATATTCCACACTAACCTGTAGTTGCATAATTATGTATAGTTCTTATGTATTTAAGAACTAACTATCAAATAACAATGAACCTTCACTTGTAATGCAGTTTAAGGTCTGTTCTTCAAATATTCCGAGAAAGGAGCTGCTCCAGGCCGGTTATTTGGTTGCATAATCATGAAATTTAGATCAGCAAACCCATCTTAAAGTGCTTGTGCACATCCATTGTATTTTCCCACACAATATCCAGCCAAGCGCAAAATTTGGCTAGTTCCATTTATCACTATAAGACGAAACATGGACTGGAGATTATGACAATAACAATGGCCATCAGGGGAAAAAGACAAACAATAACTGAAAACGCATTAAAGACGAGGTCCAAAGAATGGACAACGCTAATTGTGGGCCACAATAGCGGCGGCTCGATGGGGGGGTTAGGGCAAAGAGTTTTTGATGTTAGTGGAGCAGACGGTTAAAAGCCGGAGAAAAGAGAAAAGAAAACGAACGCGGCTTTGGCTTCAGCTCAGACAACAACCCAAAAAAGTTCGAGCAGCATGACTTGTTTCATGTTTTTCCCCTTTTCCGATCTTTTGCGGATTTCGGTTTTAATGTGTGGCGTTGTAATGGCGTTGAAAATTGTACAAAAATAAGTGAATTGCAGCAACAAAGAAAACAGCAGCCGCACTAACAACAGCATCAGCGGCAAAAAATCTCCGACAGCAATTGCGAAACCGTGAGAACCATTTATGGGAGCTGCTCGGCAAAGGAAAAATGCAAGAAAAACTTGCCACAAATGCTGGAAAATGCAATCTGACAGAGGGGGCGGGGTGCTCACATATGGCCTGCTGTGGCACACATGTGCCGCCCCTCCGCCCTCCCCCTTCCCCATCCCATCCAATAAATCATGCAGCGCATTTGTCGCCCTGCAAACTTTTATTTCGTATTTTTGGCCGTTGTTGTTGCCGCTGCTGCTGGCAGGCGAAAAGCAAAAAATGGTACAATTAAATTATTTACAATTTGCCAGGGCCAGATGCAGGACAGGGCCATGCCACGCAGCAAGTGGCAAATTTTTAATTTGATTAAATAACGAAATCAACGCACGGACGAATGAGAAATGTCTCCTGCAGGCGGAGGGGCACCGAAAAGCCCTCTGGAGGGTATGGAATTCTAAGTAATTGAATTGGAAGGGCATAAGCCAACTAATAAACACCGAAAACGTCATCGGGAATACTAGGTTGAATGCAACCCATTTCCACACCCCTCGAATCCATTGCACAACCATGCCCTAAAGTCGGACGCCTCGAAAAATAGTTAATTAAAATTAGACAAGTGCTCGGGAAATGTGGCAGACTGTGATGAAAATTCGCATAAAGGTGCCGTCGTCGACGTCGTGCAATTTCACTAATTAAAAATGCATGATTCAAAAATAAGAACAACTGCAACAAATATCTCTGTCTACTGCCCTGACAATTCTAGGCGAGAGAGCAACCCACATTTCGGTTTCTTTTCTATGCAATTTGCGGATGGCTGCCAAGAAATAAAAAGGTGAAAAAAACCCAACTGCCGGGGCCCAAAACAAAAGAAAAAGGTGTTTTGCGCCCTCTGCCGCTCGATTGCATGGCAAAGTTGTTTGTTTTTCGCCCGTTTCTGTTTTCATTTTTCATAAATTAATTAACTGCATCACGACTTTGGACGCGACTGCAACTGCGACTTGGCGACTCTGACTCAGAGTCTGAATGCGACTTTCGGCATGAGACTAATAACAATGACTTTTCGGCTCTGCCGATGGCCTTGCACCACTCCCTGCCGCATAGCATTATGTCGCTGACTGTATCTGCCCAAAGAGATAACATATTTAATTTTCCATTAATGAATAATTGCAATTATGATCGGCTTGCAGATTTACGCAATCATGAGTTGGATTAATCACAAAGGAATTGAGTTACCTGCACATTCGTTCGATATTATTAAACTCAGCCTGACATTTTAATGTTTATTTCAATAGTCAATACCAGAATATGCAATACAGACCTAATTTATCTTTTGCAACCTCGGGGGGAAACAATTTGCGTGCATCTCTGATTAATGGTCCTTTATGGGAAATTAAACAAACCTAGATAGATTTTCCCATCTCAACCTACCCCAACACCGTTCGCACCTTCTAGTGGCAATTAAACAATATCGATACGGATGTCGAGATTTGTGTTCAATTCAATTTTATGCCAACTCAGTTGACAGTAGTTGGCTGTTTATCTGCCGCTGCTGACGTTTCTTTTTTCCTGCTCGCCACTTGATTTGCATTGCGCGTCAAATTTATTCACATCTGCGCGGCTGTTGAAAAAATCGCATAAATCATGCTAATCTATAACTATCGATCAAGAGACCAGCAACAACAAGCGACAGCCTTAGTCTGTCGGCGCCGTACAAAAGTGTCTTGGGAATTTATTGCCCGAATCCTTGCGTTGGCAAGAAAAAGAAAATCTCAGAAAATGTGCAGAATTTGCATTTACACAATATTTATTCCTACACGGACGCCTTTCCCGCTGCCATATTGTGCTAAAGCCAAAAAGTGCGCAATTATTCAACAGATCCGTGATCGGCGGAGGGATTCCGCACCAGGTACCATATCTCTGCTAGAAAGCTCCACCCCTCTCCATTTTGGCTTAATTTTGCTTTCTTTGTCTATCTGCCTGCTATTTCGGCCATAAATTGTCGCGTCTAAACATATTTCTGGCCTTTTTGCCAATTTTCAACTACACATCATGTAAGAGCCCCTTCGCCGCACTCCTCGTTGCACCGGCTTGTCGCCTTATCTGCACCTGCCTCGGCCTTTCAATTGCTTGTGGTTTAAAAATAATACCCAACAACGACCAAATTTATAATTAAATCGATGCCTGGGCAAATCTGAAGCTGCAAATCTGCTTTTCAGGGAATCGGGCTAAAAAGATAAATGACAGCTTTGCCAGCTCAACACGTGCTCGGCAGTCGAAGTCTTGCCAGCTCCCCGTCTTCTGGCTAACATCTCTCGAGTGGCAAGCCCCTCATCGCATCGCATCTTAACTCAGCTGAACTCGGCTTGAGAAACAACAACTACGCTGCGGATTTGCGTGACAGCCTTTTCTGGATGGTTGTTGGTGGCTAATGTCGTTGAATAATAGTTTTTAATGGCTGTTGACTGTTATTAAATAAATAAGCAGCTATTTAGTGTCGGTTTTTCTATCTCTTTGTGTAATGCCGCTTTTATCTTGACTACTTCGGCTGCCGTGAATCACTGCCTGAAGTACAGAGGCTGCAGTTCAATGTAAACATATATCCATGTTGGGTTAACGTGGTATAAAGTGGTGGCCATTAAAAATAGTTTACTTAATCATTTTACTCTTCATGTTTATCTCGAAATCAATGCTATACCAAAGACACATTAAATGCTGTTCTTGTTCGTTAATAAATATTGATTAAAAATATTTGAATGAAACTATTATCGCTTTATTTGGGGCAAATAAATGCTACGCATATTGGTTTTTTCAGCATAAAATCTGTATATAGTTTGCTTTGAAAATGAACCGCCTCGGGGTGTTTGTGCTGGAAAATTGCTGTCAAAACATTTTCCTTGATTAAAGCCGCACACAATGCGCTCCTGTCCTCGATTTGTGGTTAATTTTATCCAGGCAAATGTTAAATATTTAATTGTTTATATATGCCATCTTTTTGCGACTGGTTTAACCCGTTGTCCCGCAGGCTGATTTGCTATGCGATACAAGCCGCTGGTCTCACCTGTCAGTTGCCCCAAACAGCATTTACATAAATATGATACGAGTGTGTGCACGACTTTTGTTATTGTACGCAATGAAAACAATTTATAAATTGGTGTACTTTATTTGTTTTGTTTTTTTATGACTCATATCTGGGAGCCGTAATGATTGTTTAATAGCCGATGCCTTACTTCGTCTCGTTTTTATGGCCCTGTATTTATATCTCCACGTATCGTATTCATATACACACATATTCCTCGGACTCCCCCGCACTATCCATCGCTGCGCCATTTCATTTACCTTTACTGCGATGGAATAATGCGTGACGTGGCGCGTATTTAATTTTAATTTGCTTACAAAATGCACGCGTTAATTTGTAATTTTTTCATTAATGTTTGCTCTGGCCAGGTTGCTTTTTGTTTGCCACCTCGTTCTGAGCCCCCATCCGCGTTATTGATTTTCGTGCGAATTAAAAAAAGGGGTCTATAAATATTTAAGATGACAGAACTCAATGGTGTGCATAAAAGCGTTCATATTTTAATAGGCAATTGCACTCTATCCAAAGTGGGTGGAGTTAAAGTTAGTTGCTCAGTTTTATTGGATTTCGCTGAATTGGAGAGGATCCCGAGGGATGGTTTTTCAGCAGACCTGTCAATACTAGTTTGTCTCCAACAAACTTTGTAAAAATCTCCTATTTATGTAGATACTATCTACTAGATACTTTTGATACAACTAGTTTTCTTTACCAACTACTGTATAGAAAACATCTTAAGCTTACCTTAAAGTGGTTATACCAATTTAATGAAATATTTTTATTTTCCACTCACCTTTCCTTGCATAATCAGCCTTATTGTGAGTGTCACCGATGGATCCTCGTGTTTGATGGACGCACCGCCCGCACTGCTGCTCGTGTTATTGTCTTCCATGGTATCTATTTTGCTGCCTTTGTCTTAACTCGGTTTAGATGAAAATGTATCTGGATCTGACCGTATTCAGCGGTCTGTATCGCAGCAGTGGATTTGTCTGTCTTTTCTGGGCTCCCCTTCCGGTTATGTTGTGGGTTTGTAAATATAACTTTGCTATATATCAATCATAAATGACCAATACACGTACTATACATATAGAGATTTTGGCTACTTTGCTTGCGGTATTGTATGGTTTTCTAGATAAAATTAAATTGGTGGTGTCTTTTGCTAGTCGTACTACGTTGTTGGCTTAAGCTCGCTGCGTTCTCTTTGCTGCTCGTAACTTCAGTGGTTTTTATTCAAATGCAACAAATAATCACGGCTATCAAAATATTTCTTCTATTTTTCTGCCTTGAGAGTTTTCGTAAATTTATTGTTGAGCAAAAATACTGTTGCTTAGCTGATGCATTTAGAGATGTATATTTATTGGGTGCCTAGGCTGCAAAGAGAAAGATAGATTAAACAAAAATTGTTAGTTTGGCACGCATAAATCATTTTAAATTCATTTATAAAATTTAATTTGCCATCTCAGAATGTTTAAATTTCCACTCGGCCCAATAAATCATTAAATTAGCCAAATTAGTTTTGTGCACAAAGTGCCGGCAATGCATTTAATCACATTCCCATGCAGAGTTCACGACTTCCGGCACTTTGGCTGAACTGAGCAGCAACAATGGGGACGGGAGGGTCCCCAGCCGGACTCGTTCATCATCCACATTCTGCTGGCAGAGAGTTGGCCCCTGTCCTGGGCCTGTTTGTAATTTTGATATGAAATTCTTCTTTCCCATATTTTTGCGATTTTTTCTTTTTGAACCTGCGCCAAGTTTTTCCGCATATTCCAACCGAGCGCTGTGCATGTACTCGTGAATATATCTGTACATATAATATTGATGTACTCCCGCTGTTGTTGTTGCCGGGGCATTTCTTACGCTTGAAATCACTTCATATGCAATTTAGTACAGATACTCGTCCACATTTTCGCTGGCTCCTTCCCAGCCTCCTTTCCGAAAATTCCCAGCATAACTCAATGTACCCCGTGCACATTTGCATGTGTTCGGATATGTACATACGAGTGTTGCCGGCAGCATCAGCACCGGGCAAAAATCATTCCCGGGGGGCACAAGAAATATTTGCGCAGCGACCAACGCGATGACTACCAAAAGCTTCCTGTCATTTCCCTAGGCTCCACGCCCCCCCTCCGCACCAGGGATGCCCGATGGCAGAGTTGTTTATGAAATTATGCGCACTAATTCCCCATGTAACGTGGCTCAGCTCCAGCTCACCTAGACAGAAAGAGCCAGGAACTCGGTTCGGAATACAATTCTGAAGCTTAGACTCTCCCCCAAAAATGCGCATAATTTGTCCGAGTCTGCTGCACTTAACATTTGACAGGATAACAGAGAAGAAAAACCTGGCTATGGCCACGCCTAATTTGAATGTCCTGACGATCAGAGGTCACAGGTTATTCTCCTCCTAGCAAATGGTGTTTAATGTCAGGCCAAGTACGATGTATATGCAAATTGAAGAGCAGACATGGAATAGTTATCCACAGAAGAGACCAAAGAATAAAATCTTTCCTAAAAACTTGAATTATTCGTGTCCTTTAAAGCATCCAACTAGGTTCAAATTGACTTTTCAAATAGAGTTTTGATCCCATTTTCTTGGGAACGGTGGCAGAACTTTTCGTCAGAAGGCAAGTGGTGTGGTCCTCAAATCAGAATTGCCTTGAATGTATAATTACAGGACTTATGTTCTCAGAACCCTTTCACCAGCCATCTGCCCGCATCAAAGATGAAAGTAAATTAGAAATTACATTGCTAGCTTCATCCTGTCGTCCACCCACGTGAATATCCCATTCCCTAACTGGCCTGGAAATATGTAAATTGCACCTCAAGGTATGACAATGGAGCCACCATTGGAAGCCAGTCAGTTTACCCTCCCCATGTTAATATCTATTGCTCGGCACTGGGGAATGCCCGCAGCGATGTCTTGAGGTTGCACACCGGGGAACACCGCAGTTGAAGGTCGGAGGCGGCGGAGGAGGAGTTGCCCAGCAGGAGGTGGCAGGACAACAATGACAGTTCGGGTTGCACACAATGGGGGATTCTGAGGAAGGGGGCTACAAGTGTCCGAGCCAAGTGCAATAAAATAATAAGTTCCGCTGCAAGAAGTGTGCATTCTTCGCATTGCCCAGACAGGATGAGCGGAGAAAAATGGAGATGTCTCAGCAGAGCTCCGTCCTTTCAGCTCATCCTGCCCCTCCTTCGCCGGGCCTCGACTCATTATCAATCATACGCACTGTCTGACAGACAACTCTGGCTTCGACTCCGACTCCGATCCTACTTTTTAATGACTTTTTCTTGACGGAGGGGAGGGAGGAGCAGCAGGAGCAGTACTAGCATAACTAGTTTTCTTTTAATTAACTCGACATATAAATGCCAATGTCTGTAATGGCAGCCAAACCAGTTTGCTTTCTAATTTTCTTTGGCTTTCCACACACACGCACACAGCGAGGACGGCGGAGATGGGAAATGTGGCTGTGTGAAAAGATTTCTAATTTCCTGCAAGAGAAAAACAAAGCCACAAATCACAAAGAATCTGCTCATCCGTCCTCTGCCATTCTCCTTTGCCCGGCCAACTTCATCAGCGTTGGCAAATAGGAGTAACCCAGACAAGGGCCACGTTTTCAAACTCATTTACATTCCCAGCCATTTCGATTCAATTCAAAATTGTGGCTGAGCGGAGCAGCAAGTTATGGTTTAATAAAACGAAGCAACAATAACCGTAGTCTACTTCGGGGCTCCCATAACTGGAATACCTCTCCTAGGCACCTTTCAGCCAGTTTTTCAATTCAATTTTGGGCTATCCCCCAAAAAGAAGGAGGGAAACAAACACACAGACACAATAAATGCTAAATGCTGAACGTGACACACACATGCCTCAAAAGTGCTGTCATGTGTTCAGCGATGGGTTGGTGAAATGGAGAAATGGAAACTGGAGAAAGGGAGACGAGGAGCGACTTTGTTGACGCCGTTGACTTTATACGTCAATTTCATCGCCGTCGTGAGGAGTTTTCGTTCCGTTTATGGCAGCCAAGGGAAAATGAAAGAAGGCACTGTGGCAGGGGCTCCGAACAACATCAACGGCAGGCGGAGGAGGCTGCAGCACGGAGGCTTTCACCCCGTCTGTCTTTTCTAGTCACCGGCCTCGGCTCCCATGTCAAGTTGTCGTTGCCGACGACGGCGTTGTTGTGGCAAAGTCAACCGCATCATCATCATCATCGCCGCCGTCATCTGCCTTTAACAACATTTTCGTTACACTGTTCACCTTGGCTGCTGGTGGACTTTTCCCATCTCTGCAAGGCTTCTCTAGCCCTTTGAAACTGAACTCTACTGAAATACTATAGTAGGTTCTATACCTTTAAATTTATTTTTCGTTAATTACAAAAGGCTGTTGGCGAACTTTATTGGTTTCAATTTAAGAGAGAACTTGGACTTGCTTTCTATGCAAAATAAAAAGCATTTATTATATATATACCCTGTATAATCTGCCTTTAAGGCTCTAAAAGGCTTTTCCAGCCCTATGAAACATAACTCTACTGGAATACTATAGTAGGTTCTCTCTTAGTATATTATATTAATTACCAACTGCTGTTAACCTAATTCTTTGGTATTAGTTTTTAAAAGAATAGAAAATGATTTTAATTTAATTTCACATATTTATCCCCTATATTTGTCTGCAAAAAGTGCGAAAATGTTTTCAGTAACAATGTTGATTCTCCATCATACACGGCCAGCCCGCACATCCGAAAACTCCTTTATGTAGAATTAATTTTTCACATTAATTATGCACATGTGCAGCTGTCCTAGCAAAGGGGCGGGAGTTGTGGGCGGGGCGGCGTATCTCTCCGAAGGTAGAGTAGCCTGGGGCTGCGACAGCAAAGAGAAAACTCATTAAATTGCATAATTATGTGTACACACACGGCCTGTGCCACATACAAAAACTTGTGTCGTCTGCTGTAATAATATTAATATTAATAACGTAAAATACTCAAACAAACTTGCGAGTCGAAAGTGGTCAAGGGTTTTTGGATTGCTCGACGTTCTCGGTCCCGAGTTCTGGGACCCTCGCTTTGGTCCCTTGGCTGCACTTAATAACATTTCGGTCTTGATTCCCGCCTCTCGTCAGGTCGTCATAATTTGATTTATGATGCGGTGGATGCCACTCGCACACAGTCCCACAGAACTTTAAAAGATTTCCCACTTGAAGGGTTTCCTCTTGGCAAACTCGTTGCTTTTCCTGCTCTTTTCCTTTTCCTTTCCTTTTCGTTTCAAAGTGGTATTCTTCTCTAGCTTGCCGAGCAGCCGCAAGTGTTGCAGAAATATTTAATTACCCGAGAACAGAGTTTAGGGGAAATTATAGCATACTTATGTGGATTCGACACGGACATTCGGAAAGGGTGGAGCCAGCGACGACGCCTGCCATATTAATTTGTGTCAAATAAGTAAAACGCAATTAAACGCACATGTCATCGCGTGGGCAAATGGCCAATAACCATGCAGAGAAATGGGGAGAAACCGGGTGGAAAGTGGGTGGCAGTGGCATACAGCATCCGTTGCCACACAATCGATACACAAACAAAGCGCCCCCGCTCCGCAATAACAACCATGGCCATAACCAGAAAGCAAACGAATTGCCCGGGAATCCCTTAATATGATGACCTATTAAAATTACTCTATGCCATAACCACAGACCTCCATCCCACACACAAGGCGAAGCAATCTTTTCCTATGCCTATTACAGCACATTTCTATGTGTATTGTGTAGTTTTCCGTTTCAGCGTGAGCAGGACTCTCCTCCGACCCTCTATTAATGGTAAAATGATATTCTCCGCCAGTCAGTCCGCCATGATAAAGCAATTATTGACCATCAACGGGGAGCTGCCATCGGATCCAAAAAGCTAGCAATGAGTACGTGAGTCGTGAGTGGGTTTCGGCTTTGATTGTCACGTGGCTGTCACTTCCACTCACGGAAATCCCCCAATTTAATTTCCAATTACTTTGGCTTATGACCGGTCCCTTTACAATCTGTTGCCTAAGCTCCGTCTTCATGTTGGGCTAAGGATTTGCATATTTAGGAGGGACAGCCCTCACGTCAATTTCCTTTTAATGGCTAAAACTAAACTGCCGGATTAATAAGTAATCCAGTGCGGGTAAATTAAACATTTCTGTTTAGAGTGCCCAAAGTGCATTCCAAGGCGGAGACTTCTCAAAAAGGATGTCTCCGGAATTATGATTTGATTAGGTCAAATACAAAAGCCGACTCTTTGTCTGCACCAGGCACTTCAAGTATTTGTGCTCCCTTTTTGGGGGCCATCTTTGGCTGTGTTTTTGACCTGGTCTTCAGTTTGGGACAGTCTAATTAAATGTCACTTCGCATTGCCT